TGGCATCTATAGCGCACCCTAAATGATCAATGAAAATGACACCATTCAGAACTGTCGCGTCAAATGAACTCAGTCCCAGAGTCAACCCTGCGTTGCGCAGTTCGCAACGGCACGTTGAGAGATCCTCAACGCACGCTGTATGGGCGGAGACACAGACGGCTCGAGCATGCGAGTGTGAATGTTCGCGCGAGAGAACGTGTCTAATCGGGCGAAACTGCGCAACGTGGCCGTTGAGAACTGCGCAACGCAGGGTTGACTCTGGTACAAATCGAAATAAATGATGAATGATAAATTAACGTATAATGAAGGCTCGGACTACTGAAAGATGAAATTTCATCAAGAAGAGAGAGGAAAATTAGGGTGAGAGAAGGAAAGATTTTCATTGAGGGAAAGAGAGGAACGTTTTGGAGCAGAGCACCCTAGGTATTCAAAATCACGACAAACATGTTCTTCTACTATAATAGGTCAGAAGAATGAAAAACGTGAGAAAAAGCACAAAGGGAAGATCAAAGTAACAGGTCTTTTCAGAATTCAACAATAGTAAGAACAGACAACCTAACAACTTAGGATGAACATGTAGGAAAAAACGAATAAAAATTTGTTGAATACTAACCGCTTGAGTAGATCGTGGTGCTGAATGACTACTCATTCCGCTGGGATTCGAATGCAGCCAAAATCTTTGCAAACGGTGTCCTTCATTATGCTCATCACCCGCAAGGAATCCATTACGACGCTCCTCGCGAAGTCGCTTAAACATAGACGAGAAATAAATAATGAGTGAGTAAACGCTAAACAACACCTTTGGGAAAAGATGAGTCACGCATTCAATCTTGATTTGAATTGAAAGGGGATATGATTGGAAACCCCGGACTTGGCAGTGACATGCAAGGAGTAGGTAATAATGATCTTTTCCTCCTAGGCGATTCTCAAACCATGAGAGGTTGGGAATCTTATTTCTGCACAGCTTCATAGCTAGTCCTAGATTAGCTTTGGCCAATGTCAGACTTGGCGAGCGTTGCACCAGCGAATCGAGTGTGTACCAGCGGATCGAACTATGTGCCAGCGACTCAACACTGTTTGAAGTGGCGGAACCCAACCTTTAAAGGAAGTCCACCACTTTCAAACAATGTGTCCGTTAAAGTGAGCTCGATTCGCCAGTGGAACGCTCGTATGGATTCGCAAAGTCTAACATCGGCCTTAGGTGGGTTCGACCCTTGTACTGAGTGCCAGGCCTACAGAAACGTTGCTGATCTTGCCCGCCCAAAATAATATGATAACTGAAGCTGAGAACAGAAAAGATTTCCTAGCACTTACGTCGCGGCGCTCACGATCAGTCTCATAAGCCCTTTGGTCACGAACGTAGACTTCTTGTGTCTTACGTTCTTGAGTTCGAGTATTTGATAAACGTTTACGTTGAGCGTTACACTGTGCCAAGCGATGTTGCCGCACCCGACGTTCCAGCATCGCACACTTTCTTAAAAGGAGTAATACTACTATGATCTGTAAAAGGCAATAGCATACGGTAGTGGAAACCGAAAAGTATCAACGTAAGAGAATGTTAAGACACACTTTCGCTATAGATCGCCGCTCCTCTCCAATATCGGGTCTGTGTGGGCGAAGCGGAGTGGAAGCTCCGGAGCAACTGCCATCATTTAGGTCTGAGCTGTTCTACAACAGGCAACAATCAACTTTCATGGGGAAAAAAATTTGTTCCTACCAACCGAATCTGTTCGCGAGTTCAACTCGTCCTCAAAGATGCCTTCACGAATGAACGTTTGCGTCGCGTGCACAAAACTTTCCACCCTCAGTGTAGCCTTATTGTGGAAATCTTCACAAATTCCTTTCATGAGACGAGGCAGCTTCAAATAACAAACGTTATATAGAACAAGCCAGCAATGCACAATATATAATTCTCTAACACGAAAAAATATTCACCATCTCCAGTTTTTCACTGAGGGCTCTAGCTGTTGCAACTTTCTTGTCGAGTTCATCGTTGCTCGAAAGAATTTCCAGTTGGAGGCCATTCGCTATAGTTTCAAATTCCTCTAGCAAACATTGCACTTTCTGAAAAGCAGTAATCAGAAAAGAAATCGTATCCTTTGTAGTACCTACCGTGTGAATCAATTCTCTAATTGTCTCTGTCAAGGAAGCAATTTCGTTATATGCTAGGTCAACATAATGGAATCCAAGACCAGTTGCCTCTGATACAACGTCTCTGGCGATCT